TATGCATAGAGGCGTATGCATAGAGGCGTATGCATAGAGGCGTATGCATAGAGGCGTATGCATAGAGGCGTATGCATAGAGGTGTATGTATAGAGGTGTATGCATAGAGGTGTATGCATAGAGGTGTATGCATAGAGGTGTATGCATAGAGGCGTATGCATAGAGGTGTATGCATGATGTCATGCATAAGACATGTTTGAGGCCGTTATTGTGCTGACCATTACATATCCATATACAATGTTTCATTCTCACCTAAACTTCTAGCTGATGAGGATTGATATCCTTCAGTCAGTACAGGGTACACAACATACTCATAGTCATGCAAAGGATCGTTTCCATTTTGTGTTCTTGTAGAAGATTGCCCTTCAATTTCTGCAATGAAGTGTTAATTATACGAAATTTAGTAAGTGGAATATTTCATACAGACAGCAAAGAAAATATTTGTATTGGTAATGGGAGTGGAATTAAGGAAGGAGGCAGATTTTCTGTCACTCTATTTGAGCTACATATGAAATAAAATCCTTATATTTGATGAGCTCCCACTGCTTTTAGTGTAATAAGCCTACCTGTTCTAGAAGTGTGCTTTTTCCTCTGTCTGCACATCAATAAGAAGAAGACTAAAGATCCTATCACGACAAAAAAGATTGTAACTCCACCTGCTGCAAATGCTATCCATAATTTTTGATCAACACCAGAGTCTTCTTTTCTTGGGTCTTTCTTAGGTATTGCTGTTGTTGGCTGCACAGTGGAAGTAGACATTACCTATAGAAAGGACAAAGATATAATTAGTAAGATTCTTAATCAATTTTAATTAACTGAAATTATATTTTAACATCAAAGACGAAATAATGACATTTTAAAAGCTCTCAATAATTAGTATATGTAATGGGACTCCATGCATTCCAATTAAGAAATAATTGGATGAGGAAAATTCCGTGGACTGACAAAATTGGATGAGGCTATAGGCCAAGTCCAATTTGGCAGTTAGAGGAATTTTTCTAGTCTAATTATTTTTTGATTGGGGAGCATGATATCCCATTACCTATTAATTATATAGCTGCCTTATTAATCCCATATTAACAACACCTTTCCAGTTAAGAAAATACTTGGACAGTTACCTATATGGAATTAATGAGAAGCTGTATAATTATCTCAACAATAAGCTGAGCTTATTATATATATTTAGTGAAACTCTGATTAGAAATTTGCATAGAGTTTGTATCAAAAATGAGGAGTAAAATACCTTTGTTTTTGTTGTAAAAGCTGTTGTTTGAGTTGGCTGGTATTCAGTACTTGATTTTGCTTTTCTTGTAGTTTGTGATGGTTTTGGTGTTGCTGTAGTTGAGGTTTGAGGTATCGTTGTTGGGATAATGTTTGTTTGTTTGACTGCAGTTAACCAAAACAAAAAATGAAAGTATGAATAATTAATTCTATTACAGTAAGTTAATTTCTAAATAAATGAATTCATGAAGGAATTTTAATTACTACAGGGCCCACAGTAATTGTTGAAAGCTGTTGTGGTGTCCCTGCCTTCAGGGGAGAAGTATTAATGAGTGAAACTAGATTAAATGGAATCAAATGAAATGAAATAGAAGTAATTGTTAAACGAAAAAAAAAATAAATAAAATAAA